GCAAGTTCAACTTCAAGTCTGTAAATATAGGTCTTAAATATGCTGGCAGTTTTTTGGCATAATTTTATATTACAATAAGAAAAATAGTAGCAATGTTATTATTAAAAATATACCTTGGATATCCTCCTAAGCTAAACTGTCTCAAGACAAAAGTGTAATAATTTATCCTCGTCACAACATTCACTTTTTACTAATCATCCTACAAGTCGTAGGTTAAATCGCAACCTCTTTCGCAAGTTACTTTCATGCCCTCTAGTGTAATTGAAAACACTATATTTTGTATTTTAAAAATGTTTATACCATATATTATATCAAAATAACTAAATGTTTTAACTCTATAAACTTCACTCATTTTTCAAAGGACAGTTCTAGTTAGAAAAGAAATTTTAGGTGAAGGATAAAGGAGATGATGTTTTGAATTTCTAAAAACGTTTCTAAATAATCTTAGATGAATAAAGTTCATTACATTAAATATAATTGTACCACATAAAGAAATTAAAAAATCGACAAAAATGCCATTTTTTGTAATATTAACATATCATCAACACAAATCTTTAATATTTATTAAATTTTTTTAAACAGAATGTGATATTTTGATATAGAGTGAAATTACATTCGTATATCAGTAACCTTCCGAATTTTTGTAATTGCTTTTCCACACTTAAATTCAAATAAATTTAGTCTCGGACGCTTATGGAGTGGAATTGGATTGCAGGCAGACTTTCAACGAAGTTTTTTCATTGTTAATTGTATTGTACTTTCCGTTTGTTTTTATTTTATATTATTACAAGTTGCAAGCACTTTTTATTTTCATAAGTATAACCAGATTGTTTTAGGGATTAAGCTTACTTCCTTTTTTCACTCTAATTTAATACCAGGGATACTGGAAATTCCAGGATTTTCTATCCCAGCTCGAGTCACCTTAAAATGTTAATAACTCCCTCTAGACGATGTTTTAACCACTTTTTTTTTCGTTGTTAAGTCAAGTATAGTTATATGTTTGATAACAAATATTATTTTTGAGTCTTTAGGAGTTGATTGTGCTATGGTATTTGTTAATAAAGCTAGCGGGTAAAATTTTTGATGGCTGCCAAACCTGTACAAGAATCTTAGGTTTATAGAAATTTTTCTAAACGGAAAAAGTCATCCATTGATTCTTCTCCCGTTCATTCTAAGGTTCCTCAGTATGTGTTATTGGACAATGATAAGTCCAACAATATTGATGTTTTACTTCACTCATCTGATATGAGTCTTAGTAAATGTAATCAGCTAGTACCAGCTACTCCACTAGAAACTGATTTCAGCTGAAGTTATTCGGGAGCTTCGAAAGTTAGCTGATGGTGGAGTAGTTAAAGTTTTAACTGATTCTGCTGCCCAAGCTTTACTGAAACTAAACAAGTTTTGAGCATGGCCCGTTAATACTCAATTCCTAATATCCCTTACATAACATAGTGGAATTTTAGCAGGAATATTTCTAGAAATAAATACGGAATAATTTCTTGAAGATCTCAGTAACTTGTGTTACGAAGTCACTGGTCTATGCAGAATAACTAGAAAAGATAGTAAGGAAATGGTGGATACTTGGGATAAATTCTGACTTTTGAGGGCAAAGAGATGCCCAGTAACATTTTTTATTGGTTTTGAGCATTTTACGGTTAGACCATTCATCAATACTCCAGTAAATGTTTTCATTGTTACCAGTTTGGTCACATTACCTCTCATTGTCAAGGTAGACAGAGGTGTCTTAGATTGGGGATTTTCATTAGGCAACATCCTGTAAAATGGAATCTCCCAAGTGTATGAACTGCAATGAAGCCCATTATTTCCAGTTTACGTTCATCTCAAAGAAAAATTCACAGGTTAAGGGAACTTTTTCTTCACGGGTAGGTTGTCTTCTTCTCAATCATTCTTCCCCTAAACGGGTCCTGTTTTCTTACATTCTGAAACGTTCTTTCATTCACACGGCAAGTACAAAACCACAGTCGATAGATAGTTCTACACAGACTGATAATGAACAAACAGTTCTCCCTTCTTTTAAACTGGATTCTCTTTCATTCATGGCAGAAATATTAAATGGTTGCTCCCAAGTTACTCCTAACTCTCAAGAATTAGAATCATCGCAAAAGCAACCGAAAAAACATTTTCATTATAAAAGTTTGAAATCCCAGATTGTTCATATCTTCAGCTCTCGTGATGATTTCCATCTGAAGGTTGTGCAGTGGAATACACAAAATCTAAGAGCTCGTGATGTGAAGCTTAAGTGGCATATAAATATTACAGCCACTCACGCTGTTATCATCTATGAAACTTGTTTTAAACCTCACGTTGTATATTCTGTGCTAGTCTACTCCATTTATCTACTTGAATATACAAGCTCTGTTTATAGTGGACTTTGTTTTCTAATTCAAAATGATATTAATTATATCCCTATTGAAATTTCACCGCTCAATCCATTAGAATGTTTACATGCGGATATTGCTATTAATTCCTTTAATCTTCCCATTTTTTCCATTTATAACCCACGTGCTACTTTCACTTGTGAACAGTTGGTTAGATTTTTATTAGACGTTAAAATGAACGTTTTTATAAGTCATAATCTTAATACACGTCATTCTATGTAAGGATCTGATAGAGTTGATACAAATGACCAAGCAATTGAAATTTTTTTTATGAGAGTTTTTAATATTTTCTAAATGAAAGTTATTCTACTAGGTTGGATATTATAACTGGAAAGCTTAGTTTTTTGGACTTGATCATTAATTTCACATAACTTAGTGAAAGGTAGTCTTCATTTATTCTTACTGACACTTTTGGCAGAGATAATTTTCAATATGAAATATCTGTTTCACTTTCATCAACTACTTTTACATTTACCACTTCTCTTGAATTCCATAGGACCTTATCATCTAGGGACTTTTCCTTTCTTCAAACCCTGATTCCCGTTATTACTCGAATGCAGGAAGTTTTTGATCTATCGTAAAGAGGTTGTTCACTTTCTTGTTGTCATAACTCCTTTTGCTGTTAAGTGGGATGCCAGATCACAAAAGCTTAGTTGTTTTAAGACGAAGGGCTTATCGATCTATAAGTAGTCATTTTAGAAATGCAGCATTGCAGTCTTACTTGTATATCAAAGCCAAAATACAGAAATGTATTTGAAAAAGTAAGAAGGATTTTTGGAGAAAATTTTTGTTCCTCTTTGAACAAGGACACACATCGATCACTAGTTTGGACGGAATTTCGAAGCTTTTACATTGCACGTCCTTGTCTTAGAACATAATCTGTAAATATGAAGGATATAACTTGTTACACTTCATGAGTAGAACAATGTTTATGTTACCTACATGATTTCTCGTGGCCCATCTTTGCTGGCTGGTTTCCAATTTGCTTCCCTCACTAAATCTCAGCTCTCTGAGAACACTTACGATACAATTAATGAAATATTTTATCTTTTTTGAGCTAAAGGCACTTCAGCCTAAAAGATTTGCTCACGAACCAAATAGTGCAACCTATTTCACGTTGGCTAAACTTGATGCTCAAGCCAAATGATTTTTGTTAAATATATATAAGAATTCTTGGATGATAGGAAACATGTTCTAAAGCCAGAAAAAAACAGATTTTTCACATATTTCTTATTGACCTATTTCTTTGCTTTCTTGTGTATTTTAAGTCTTGGAATATATAATCACTACTAGATTTTGGACACTATAAATTTTTTGTCTCCTGTTCAAGGTGGTTTTAGCAAAGGACAAAGTACTTTAGATTGTTTGGTATGATTGCAGAACTCCATTAGTGTAGTACTAGCCATTCAGGGTTATGCTGCAGTTGTATTTTTAGATATCCAATCAGCTTTTTTTATTGTGTTAATTCTGATGCACCTCTTTGAAAGTTGTATACTTTTGGATACAGAGGTCGTTTTCTAAAATTAAATCAAAACTACTTGAATTGCCGTACCTTTTAAGTGAAAATCCTAAATGTTTAGTCAATAGCGCAATTCCTCAGGTCTGGGGAACCTCAGGGACCAAAACTCAGTCCCTACATCACCTACTAGAGAATAAAGGGTGAAGTAGCTAGAACAATATAATGTTAGCAACTCTGAACTACGCGTTGCTGTTATGACACTGCTGAAACTAAATAATCAATAATTTGGAATTACTAAAGAAGGTAGAAGACCCATGATATGCCCACACATCAGAAGTATACAGACATTTCTTGATTTATTTACCTTGACCACTACAAATGGTACTTTCCTTGTCTTTAATCAGGACATTAACAACCTGACTGTAAGATGGAAAAGCATCATCTATAAGAATGGAGACTATTTCATTTAATAAATGTTTTGTTTTGATATATAAGTTGTTGGGGTTTTTTCATCTAAAAAAAGCGACATTAATTTTATGACGACTTAATATATATATATATATAACTTTTAAAAATCAGGTTTTTACAGCTTTTTTTAATCTAAATATTTCCAAATTATCTTTCTTGCACTATTTGTTTGTTTTAAATTTTGCACAAAACTACATCATCCTATGTGCATGCTAGTCAAGAGCACCTATTACCAACGCTTGAGATTCTTATATATATATGTAACTCATATACAACCCCCAAATTGAGGAAAGTTTTTTTTCGTCAACGGGGACATAAACCATGAACTTTCGAATTTGCAGTCCTGGTACGTTAACAGCTGGACCATTGCCTGGTTCCTTTTCTTGAACCTAAATCAATTATCTTTAACACACACACCCCTTTCCCTCACCACACAAAAACCCAAACAACAAAAAAAAACGGTTAATCTATATTCTACTCTTTAAGAAATTTTAAAGAAAACTATCCATGGCTGAATCTGAACTACTCTCTTAAGGGAGAGACGAGCAAGAAATAGATTCATCTTGTTTTAACTATTTAAACGTCTTTGGAAATTTAATTCGAAACGAGTCTGGTGTAGTGATAGAAAGAAGGGTATAATTTACATTCTTCGTGAGTCACTGAAGCAAAAGAAGTAAATGTGGCAGAATACATGCCAGATAAAATTGCATTTTTTAAGTATGATTGATATAAAAATTATAACTCATGCATAATGGAATATACATAATTAAAAAAAATCATGGATTGTAGTTTTGTACCTATATATATATATGGCAAAGCTACAAAGGCTATATGTTGCTGTCCCTAATTTTGGCATTCCAGTAGCACAGCGGTAAGTTTGCGGATTTATAACGCTAGAAACTGGGTTTT